TCAACTTGACTCTTTTAAAGACTTCAAAGACTTCATCTTTGTGCTTGATCAAATACCCTCAGAGCTTTCTAATATGCTTATCCATAAAAGAAACAAAATATATGTTTCCACCAATTGTATGGTCTTAAAAAGGGTCACAAATATCTGAGTGTACAACCTCAAGAATGCTTATTGATCTCATAGGCAAATAGGACTTGAATGAATTTTTGGATTGCTTTCCTAGCAAGCAACCTTCACGTAAATTCTCAGGCTGACAATTTTGAAATACCAAGCATTATCTCTTGTGTTACAAGTTGATAGAGAGATCTGAAATTCAAATTATCAAATCTCATATGCCATAACTAGCTTTGTTTGTTCTCAATCACAACCTGCAAACATTAAACTTTTATTGAATTGATTGGAGTGTTGAAAGTCCTATTCTTTGACAAGTGAGACCATAATACCAACTTGTTGGTTGGATCAAAAAGCTCAAAGGCTTCATTTTTCATATTTAATGAGAATGATTTCTCAATAAGCTAACCAACACTCAACAAGTTCCATTTCATGCCTGACACATATAACACATCTTAATGATTGGCTTACCATTGCTCCTTGTGATCACCAAGTTACCTGCTTCTTTTGCCTGCAGTGATCTACTATCTACAAGTCTGATATTGCTCCTTCTTGAGTCATCAAACTTAATCAACAATAACCTATGATCTGTCATGTGATTTGAGCAACCTATGTCTAAGAACCAAGTCTTGGAATCTGAACCTTCATCAGAAACTACAACCATCAACACCATACCTTCATAATCACCTGAATCTTCATGTGATATATTTGCCTCATTGCCATCTTTACTTTTGGAAACTCCTTTTTCTTTGTTGTACCAACAATCTTTGGCCATGTGACATTATTTCTCACAATTAAAACATTGAATTGTCTTTTTATAAACCTTTCCTTTATGATGAGAAATACCTCAACTTTTAGAAGATTCAATTTTATCATTTAATTCTTTTTGTTTGTGAGACCATGGACCCTTCTTGGTATTATTTTTGTCAAAACGTCCTAGAATTTGCCAGTTTCACCATGCCCTTTCTAGGTCTAAGCTTGCAGAGCCTGAATGGCTTCTTGAACTATTTTTCTTTCTACAATTTGCATCTCCTGTGCTTCTAAGGAACCTACGAGATCCTCCAACTTCATGGTGGACAAATCACTAGCTTTTTGAATTGCCACGGTAATATGATCAAAATGAGAGATCAAAGTTCTCATCACCTTCTCAATGATTGTCCTATCTATCATGGTTTCACCGCACATTTTCATCAAGTGCACAAGATTTTGTACCTTGGACATATATGCTTCAACTTTCTTTGTCTCTCCCATCTGCAATAATTAGTCCTGCCTGCGCAACGAATGTAGTTTCATAATTTTAACCTTTTCACCTTCTTCATAACACGGGAAAGAACATCCCATGCTTCTTTTGCATATTCAAGATGAACGATTCGGTCAAAATTTGCACCATCAACTGCAGATTGAATGCAATAAGACGCCTTGCAATCTTTCTTCTTGGCATCTTTCTAAGAAGTGCGTTGAGCTTCAGTTTACTACAAGCTTTGTCACGCCATTAGTGACCACGCCAAGCGTTTCTTGGAAGCCGAACAATGATTTCATTTGTTTGCTCCAACAATCCTAGATCTTGCCATCAAGAACATGAAATGAATGTGGAATGCCATTGCTTCCATTCATCATCGATAAACCAACAAAGAATCATTGCCTTTGAAGTGCAAAATCTCCTTTAGAACTTGGAGCTCTGGATACCAAGTGGTTAGTGCAACTGCACTTAGTGAAGAGAAAGAGAGAATATGCATGATATTGATGTGGAAGAAGATGTATATGACATGTGTGAGAAGAATTTGTATTATTATTGAAAGAATTAGTTTTGAAATGAAACTCCACACTCACTTATATATGTTGTGTGACTTGTAATCTAAGTAACCGACCCAAATAACTACTAACTAGCTAATTAACCACCTTCTAACTACCTTAAATTAGGGATGACAATGGGCATGGTTTGGGCAGGGTACTATAGTACCCGTCCCCAAACCCGCGATTTAAAAAAATCCTCGTACCCGAGCTCATGCCCGCGTGGGCTCCAACATTTGTACCCGTACCCGTACTCTATGGGTATCTAAGTACCCATACCCATGTCCGTTTACCCGCATTTCTAATAAAAAATGATTGATCAATTATAATTTATCATGTTATTTTAATTTTTGAACAACATTTAAAAACATTTGAAGATGTTATTGTTAAGTTAAGAAATAAACAAACATTTATATTAAAATACGTAGAAGTTTAATAGTGATGTATTTAATAAAATTGTTAGAATAACATATATACATAATAATGAAAATAAAAATATATAAATATATATCGTGCGGGTATGGGGCAGGCTGGGTATTAAGATATCCGTACCCGCACCCATACCAGCTTATTATAATGAATAATTGTTCATGTTCGTACCCATATCTATTTTGTGGATTTTTATTCTATCCGTTGTGAATAAATTTTGTAGATATCCACTAAAAATGGGTACAATTGCCATGTCTACCTTAAATAGATTAACTAACAACCATTAATTAAATTTAGGAAAACGTGGATCCTAGTATATTTCTTGACCATAAAGCAGTTTGATAGCACATTGCATGTTGTTTAGGCAGTTATCTAAATTGAGAAATATTTAGGTTTATTTGTTAAATGAAAAACAAAATACATGTATAACTCAATAAACTACTTCTTAAATTCACAAGTAGGGTCTTGGTTTATGAGACTTCTCTTAACCTCTTTCAATTTTAAGTTTGTTCTTTATTTGTATATTTTGTTTAAAAAAATCTTTAGAATTTATAAACTACTTCGTAAATTCACAATTAGGATCTTGGTTCATGAGACTTCTTTAACCTCTCTCAATTTTCTTTGCATAAGTTTGTTTTTTATTTATATATTTTGTTAAAGAATTTTTAGAATTTATACACATTTATAATCAAGTGTGTATATTAGTTGCATTAAAAAGGTGAATTGTTATGTTTGATTCAAATTATTTAAGAATATACTAAACAAACCTAAGCCGAAATGAATATAATATAGAAAATTGAAAAGTTCTTTACTACTTATTGTTTTTTTTTTCTGTTATGTGAAGATATTATTTGTTGAAGAAATTACTTAAACTGTTGAGTAATATAATCAAGGTACACAGCTAAAGGAGAATTCTTAATAGATACTATAAATGCAATTAATAAATAGACGTTCACCAGTCAAGAGTGGGATGGATGCTACTTGGTCTAATGGCTAAATATTAAGTTTTTTTTAAGGTACTTTTTTAATGCATCCTATATATATTTTTAAAGTATTTTGTAAAATTAAAAAAATATTTTTAATTTTTAAAAATATATTCTCGAATGCAACTAATATACATATTTCATTTATTTTTAAGTTAAATTTCAATTATATAAATAAATTTATTTCAAAAATATATCTCTAAAAAATTATAGAAATATATTTTGACATAAATATGATTGATGTTCTTATTTTAAGATAATATACTATTTCGTCTCTAGTCAATTGGAATTCACACATTTATGTATATAAATTTTATCTATGCAAACCTATTAAATTATGGTGGCATAAATTTCAAGCTTATTCCAATGAAAAGCCGCAAAAAGCAGCATAACTTTCAAACTTATTCCAATGGAAACAAAAAGCAGCATAACTTTCAAGCTTATTCCAATGGAAAACCACAAAGTTCTGAGGCTATATAAACTAGTTTCACTCAATTTAGATGTTAAGTATAAGTGTGTATAGTTAAAGTCCCATATTGTTTATAAATGAATAAAATATATAAATTTATAAGAGAGATGACTCATTAACTCATTTTTCTGACACCTTAAGATTTTGAGTTAAGAAGTAGCATCTCCCAACTCTCTTGTATCCCCATAAAAAAAAAGTAAATCGATAAAGAGAAATCAAACCTATACTCTTGAAGATAATTATCCTTAAAAAGAAAGCCTACATTTATATTAGTGACAAAGATAAACAATAGTACATCAATTTCATAAATTTGAAGTTTACTGATGGCCCCATTCATAAACAATAGTACATCAGTTAGCCATTCATAAATTTGAAGTTTTCTGATGGGCCATTAATAAACAATAGTACATCAATTAGCCAGAGATAGATTTATATAAACAATAGTGAACCAAAAGAGAGAAAGGGATTGCACTGCAGTCTTCAAGTATAAATATTTTCATTCAAACCAAGTCAAGTATCTCAATCTAAGTTTCCATATTTTCATTCAAACCAAGTCAAGTATCTCAGAATTTTGGTGGACCATGATTGAAGATGATGATACATCATATTGCTTCTTTCCACTTTACAGTGGGGCACTATTAAGCATTAGCTGCCAAAGACAACTTTACAATCAAAAATAGAAAAACTCACCTTGAGTTTTGAACATTCTGTGTATATTCCAAGGACTCCATCAAAGCAAAATGAATCTATTACAAAGATTTGAAAGAAGAAGAAAAATGATAAAAACAACCAGAAACAAATTTAATAAGAAAAGGAAAAACAATAACATTAATCATGGATCAAAAAGCATAAAGAGTATGCAATTGGTATCTATACACACTCAATTCATCAGAGTACAAGAAGGGCCTATGATATCCCTCCAAACAAAATGGATAGAATCTGTCACAATCTATTAGGCCTATATAGATGTACAGAAAAGATTAAAAACAAGCAAAATCAATCTTCAACCAAAGATTTGAAGATCTTGAACCTCTATGAAGCCTTTCTCTAAGGTATAGTTCAATATACAAGAACAAAAGGAGCAATCTATTTACTCAACCTAATCCAAAACACAACAGAACCGTGTTTCATCATAACTTAATGCATCGTTTCTCTACAAATTTACTCAAATCAAGGAAGTTAATGCTTCTCTTTTCTTCTCCATGATTCTAATCAAATCAAGGAAACAGTGTAACTGAGATATCAGCAAGCTTCCTAGTACTCAACCTTGACTTTGATTTCTTTAACATCAACGGTGCATCTGGAGCTTCAATTTCATCGCACCCATTTTCAATATGAAATGGTGAACGAACAGCAGCAACAGTGTTTTTCTTTGGAGTACTGAACTTAAAATGCATCTGCTTAGCAATTTCACTCTGCAAAATCAAAAGCCAAAAAAAAATTACAAAACTAGCACAATCAATCAAATAACACAAATTGAATCAAAAATTGAAAATGATTATATCACAACAATAAACACTCACCGCCTCTCTAATTGTTGTAGAGACATTAAAAACTTGATCCAAATCATCATGATCCACACCACACAAAACCCTAATCTGCAACAAATCCAAACAAAAAATTAAATTAAATTTACATAAAAATAAATAAATTTCACATTTCTAAATAGATAATCGAAATTGAAAACGTAAAAATGAAATTGGGATACTTACAAGAACATCTTGAGGAAGGGCTTCAAGACGAGACTTCTCAGAAATAGAATTGAATTTTCCGCTACACATTTTCTTCAAAGGAGACCTTACTGAAATGGATTCATGGCTATTGGAAACCACAACCCTCTTTCTTCCGAGTGCACGGCAATAACTATAACTGTCAAACCCTAAACCCATATCTGCAACGGTTCTTAAAATAAAAAACTCTCAAAAACTTGAACAATTTAATTAATCCGTTTATTTATCTTGTTGTCTGAGATAGAGAAAAAATCGAACCGAATTTCGAATGAAGGTTACTATTTGTGTTCGTTGATGTTGAAGGAGTAAAATAAGAGGTTTTGAATGGAAATCTGTGTATGTGGCTCGAAAGGGGAAACTAAACCCCTTTATATAGAGTGAAAACCCACCATATTAAGCTTTGAAATTTTGATTAAAATTTTAAAATTTTAACTCCCTCCAATTCTAAATCAATGAAAATTTTAACTCCCTGTCTCGCAGTTAGGCAGTTATTTACACTTAACATGTCATCATGTAATGATGCAGATCATTGATTCGTTAACCAGGTAAAATAATTTTACAATATTAGTGTATTTTTTATTTTCCAAAATTTAAAAATTTATAAGAATTAATATTTAAAACAATAATAATAATATATTCTATGAAAATAATAATACTCTTACCGTTAATTTAATGTTTTAATGATATTTGTTAGTGTATATTAAAAAACATTATTGGAACTTGTAAAACTTATAATTTGAGATCCACACTTAATGTAATTTGATTATGGCTTAATTCATATATTTAACCTTTAAATAACACAAATGAATTTTACATTTTTATTTAATTGATATTAATTATTCACTAGAAAATATGCAAATATATCTTTCAAATAAATAAAAAAGTTATATATATATATATATATATATATATATATATATATATATATATATATATATATATATATATATATATATATATATATATATATATATATATATATATATATATATATATATATATATATATATATATGAATGTAATCTTGAAAAATACACCAAAATTAAATTTGGTTAAATAAAATATAGTATAAGTAGATTTTTTTGACATAAAGATTCAATTTATACAAAAATATATTATTTATTTATGAGATAAATTAAAAATAATATTAAGAATCGAGAACTGGAGTGTTTTTTTATCGTTAATAATCATAAATTTAACTTAATTATTTAATACTTATTAGTGTACATTAAGAAAATATTGTTGGAACTTGAAGGTATATTTTTTATTTTGACTAAAATATATTTTTCTTATTTTAAAAGAAAATTCATATGTATTTTTAAAATACGTTAATATTACTTTAAGAAATAAAATAAAAAATTACACATATATTTAATGAAATCAGTTTATATAAATATTTATGAAAAGACTTATAAATTAATATGTAAAAATGATATCTACTAATTTGATTACGGCCTAATTTGATACATATATAAAAAATTATAATTTTTTGACTAATTTAATCATGCATTTTTATTTAATTTATATTCAATTATTTTGTTTAATTATTATAATTATTTATTATTTAATTTATATTCAATTATTTTGTTTAATTATTATAATTATTTATTGTCTAGTTAAAAAGTTTGTTTAACTTAAATTTTGTTTTAAAAAATTAATAATTACGTTATAAGAAAAATACCAAATAAAAATAAAAACTACAGTGGGTAAAAGGAGAGAAAAAAACGCGTGAGATTTCCCGAAGTTTCTTGGCGGTTAAAATTAAAAAGAATAAAAATATAGCCGTTGTAAGATAATAAAACGTGGCAGGGTAGGAGTAGACGAAACTAGAAGTGGACGGTGACGTGGTGCTGGGTCGGCAATGTCGGTTACTTCTGGAACACGTTCAGTGAATGAGTACGTGTGAACATCGTAGACCTTCGTCGCACTAGATCAGAGCCATGGAATCTCTATGTAGATTACTTACTTTTAATTGGTTGAAACATAAAACGTGTGCGATGATGACTTCGTCGACGATGTGGAAAGGGAAAGTGGGGCCTACACCACATGAGTCTTCGTGGTTTGACGGAGTATTCCAAGTAGGCGGCTGACGGCTGATTTGTTTTCCACAAGGTTTTGTACCAATCTAATGCAAGGGCTTTTTTGTCTTTTGGATACTTTTGTTTTTAATACTCGGTGTGTCTTAGTTAAAAATTAAAAGTTATTGAATCCGGTGAAGAAACATCACAGCATGTTCTTCATTGGCAAGCAAAAGCAAAAGTGGATGACGGTGTAGAGACATTCATTCTGTAGTACTACTAATTGGCCATTAAATTTGGAGATAATTACGTCTTGATTTTTGTTAGTACTCTTAATTGCTGCGGATTGAGTCTGTCGATTATTAAGCACTAATCACGGTAACACTAAATTGAGTACCCTCATTTATTCATTGGATATACTTCAAATACACTAATCATATAATGAATATTATTTTTATTTATAATATTACATGTATTCCCTCCTAACAAAATACAAGTGAAAATAAGAAAATTCACACTTATGAAATCATACTTTTGTGTTTTTTCTTATAAATAAAATTCATTAAAATGTATAAAAAGAATAACTTTATTGATTATTTTAAAATGGTAGAAAAAATAAATTGAATGATAACTTTGAAAATAATGCTTTTTTTATAAATAAAATAATTGAATAAATTAAATTATTTTTTTCTTACAACTAGTCGTCTACTGCGATGCACGTCTATGTTTTATTAAAATATTTTTTTTTGTTATAAGTTAAAAGTTTAGTTTTCAATGAATTTAAAAAATGAATCATGTTTGATATACTTTGTTTAAAATATAAACTATGGTTATTATGTTTTTAAATATTGTTTAATCAATTAAAATAAAATTTACATGAAACTAATAAATAAATAAAATAAATTATACATCACATTCTCAATTGAAAAATAAGTGAAGTAGATGAGAGATAAAATTATTTAATATAAGACGAAGAAGAAAATGATAGAATTGTAAAGTCAAAATAAAATAAAAACCAAAATTTTTTAAAAGTAGATGTTTGAGATTTATAGAATTAGAAAAGTAAACTATAAAATCAAGTAATGATTGAATCAAAAGTTCTAAGAACATAGTTCAAGAGCATTTAGTTAATAATACAAATTAAAAAAATATTAAAATATTTTATTATCAATTCATCTCATGTTTCATGTTGCTTTCAAATTTTAATCATATCTTTAAAATAATATATTATTCTATTTACATATAGTGTATCATTTCAATACACAGACAAAAGTCAAACAAGTTTCAATTTCAAATAGAGAGTGTTAGATTTATGACATTATGAGATTTGGGAAGTATGCAAATGATCAATTTGTGGTTTCAGAGAAAAAAACAATATTGTAGGGGATTTTAAGAGAAACAACACAAAATTAGAGGCATAAGTTTAGTAGTATTCCATTTACAATACAAAAAACAATGAGTATTTACAACATTAACAACGATGCTAATGAAAAATATATTATGACTTATAAATACATCACAAATACACTTCTATCTACATCATTGATATATAATTACAAACAATTTAGCTAATGAAAAATATATTATGACTTATAAATACATCACAAATACACTTCTATCTACATCATTGATATATAATTACAAACAATTTAGCAGAAAACATCAACACTTACAAATTAGCTAAATAAATATATAAATATTTAACCATGAAAAGATAGATAAATTCCTAAATTCTCAAAATAAATAGTAGGGAGAGAAGAAAAAAAGAAGAAGAAAAAAATAAATTATTTCAACATGCAACTGTAAAGGTTATTTACAAAGGAAGTTACACATAAAAGATTTATGAATATCTATCAATAAGTTAATGCATTAGTGGATTAATGGTGTTATAAAGGAGAAATTTTATGAATAGCTATAATTAGGGTGTGTTTGTTTCGGGGTAAATGGAGGGGAGGGGAGAGGAGGGGGAAATTTTAATTAAATATGTTTGGTTCAAATCTTAGAAAGGGAGGGGAGGGGAGCAAAATCTCTTCAAAACACACTTTTTGGTTCCCTCCGAATTGGGGGGATTTGGAGGGGAGGGGAGAGAATATGAGTTTTGATATTTAAAAATTATTATATTTACTAAAATATCCTCGATTTAATTTAAGTATTTCAAAATTATTCGTTTTTTTTCGTGTTACTGCTTTTTCTCGATTGTTTCCATCAACTTATTATAATTGTTCCTCCACCTTCAAATTATTTTAGAATTTCTATACTTAAGATAAATCATAATCATTGTCTTTTTTTTATAAAAAAAAATTATGTTTAGTTATATTTGTTTTTTTCTTTTAATTTTGTTATGTATTCTATCATATTTTCTTTTATATCAAATTGTAAATCATTCATTTTATTTATTTTTGTTTATTCATTTTATTAAATATTTTGAACCATTAATATTTAATTATAAGTTATTTTATATATTTGTTTTGTTATATGATTCATCACAATATTTAAACGATGTTATTAACATATAATTTAATTTAGGTTGAAAAGTTATAAGTCGAATCAATTGTACTCAATTTTTTAACTTTATGTGACAAATAAATACTTTTTTAATCACTAAATATTAAAAATTTTATTACCAATAAAAATACGCATGAATTTTTCAAATTTTAATATCATATGACTTATATAAGATCATAAGGATAAAAATGTAAATTATTAATAAAACTCATCCCCTCCCCTTCTGAACCAAACACATTTTTAATTAAAATCTCTCCCTTCCCCTCCCCTTCCCTCCTCTCTTTTGAACCAAACACTTATCTGATTAAAAAAATCCTTCACCTCCCCTCTCCTCCCCTTCCCTTCATTAAAATTTCTTCTCTCCCCTCCCCTCCCCCTCATTTGAACCAAACAGACCCTTAGTGGATTAGTGGAGTTATAGAACAAGACTATCTTTAAGTCTTTAAGTCATTTTGCTATAATTATTGGATTACTGGAGTTATACAACGTGACTATCTTTAGGTCTTTAAGTCATTGTTCAAATTAATTAATTATTGAGTCATTTTGAGTTATACATGATATTGATTTAATAAAAAGAAGAAGTAATTATAATGAAACTAATTATAACTATAAAAGACTATATAGAGTGCGACTAAT